AGGAAAGGAGGGTAACATCTTGAGATGAGGGAAATATTCCACACAATGAGCTACAACCATCCCCCTTTTTTTGTAATATTCAAAAAGTGTCTCACCAAGTCAACCAAGCTGGCCTTCAATTCTTCTGACCTCAGCTTCCCTAGTAGCTGGGATTATAGACATGAGCCACTGAGCTCTACTATCACTATGTTAACTTCTATCATCAGGAAGTAATTGTATTTCTCTTTCAACTTCATTTAAGTGGAAATCTGCAGTACATAATCTTATGCCTACCTTACATGTGTGCGATCATCCACGTTGATATATACTTTAGCTCACTCTGTTTTATTGTCCCTGCAGGGTTTATTTATAAACATAATTTACTAAGCCATTCTACTGCTGATAAAAGTTCAAGTTGTATCCAATTTTAGGTTATAATAAAGATGAATAAGTGTTCTATGCTTTTTTAGTAGATATATACATTTGTAATACCTAAGATGAGAATAGCTGATTCATGGATAGAAGTGGACACAGCCACCATTTGCAAAAGTGACTGTTATCATTTTACGCTCTTGCCAACAATATCAAAGACCCAGTTGACCTACATCCATGCCAACACTGGTACTGACCATCTGCTAATTTTAGCCATTCTGGAAGGTGTATAGCAGTACACTATCTCAATAAATAATGCTGAATATCTTTTCGTGTGCATATTGGCTACTATGGTTTAGAAGTAAAATGGTCCCCAAAGCCAAAGTGTTTAGAAGTGGATTAGACTGGGGGGGGGGGCATTATAGCAGGCTTGCTTTTAGAACCTAGGGTCTAATTAGAAGAGGCAAGTCATTGTGGGGGTAACCCAGAACAATGTACCTCTCTTCCAGGAAAACGCTATCTGCCTCTTGATTGTCGTGACATGAGTAGCTTCTCCTTAGACCAAACTGTTCTACTATGTCCCTTACTGTACTGTGCAAGAACTGAAACTTTTAAAATATGAGCCAAAACAAACTCTCCTCCTCTAGACTGTGGGTGTCAGTAATCTTGTCTCCACAGAGAAAAGTGAGTTAAGACACTGGTTATTCCCAGATTCACTATTAGAAAGTGATTGTTCAGGACTCCCATGCATTTTTAAATTAAATTCATTTTCTTAGAGATTTTACACACACACACCCTGCACCCCACACACATTCTTGCATATGAGTCCCAATATCCAGATTGGGATATTTATTATTTATCATCAGATAATAAACTGCAAATTTCTTCTTGGAGTCTGCATTTTGTTCTTCATTCACTTAATAGCAACTTTAGATGAAGGGAAGTTCTTAGTTTTAATTAAATCAAAGGCAAGTTTATTGATCATTTTTATGGTCATTGCTCTCTGAGTTTGTTTTAAGCACTCCCTGATCTCTAATCACTACTTCACTGATTTATGCTTCTAGTTTAAATGGTCTACACCATGCTTAGAATTCATGAAATCCTGTAAGTTGGACAAGGTTTGCACTTTCCCCTTGTAGTTTATTGACTCTACATTCAAGCTATGTTGTTAGGTGCTGGGTAACTCTAATGTTAGAAATATGTGGTTGATCAGTTTTACAACTAAAGAATTCATCAATGATTACTCCCCTATTAAAATCACTCCTGGCTAGGCATGGTGGCACATACCTGTAATCCCAGCACTCAACAGGCTGTGGCAACAGGATTGCCTTGAGTTTCAGACCAGCCTGGACTACATTGTTAGTTCAAGGCCAGCCTGCCTACATAGCAAGACCCTATCTCAAGAAACAATAATAAATAGGGCCAGCCAGATAGCTCAGCAGTCTAAAGCAGGTGCAGGAGCCAGGGTAGATCCCCTGCATGCTGTGCCAGCCCCCCCCCCCCACCTCAGAGCAGGCTGAAAAGGCTACTGAGACTGGGTGTGATGGCACACACCTGTAATCCCGGAGCTTGGGAGGCTGAAAACAGCAGGATCACTACAAGTCCGATCTGTGTAGTGAGACCCTATAGACACTGAACTAAATATAAAAAATACATAAATAAATAAACATAAATAAATAAATACATAAATCACAGTAGCATGTTCCTCCATGCTCCCTTAGACAATTCTTCCCACTCTCTTTAAGCCCAGCCTCAAAGAATCCTGGCTGCATCCTTTTTCCTAAAAGATTTTCAATTTCCATTCATACAGTTACAAAACAAACTTTTATCCTTCTTTCTTCTCCCAGCAGGTGTTCAGCTCCCCCACACCAACTCTCTTGGCACCTAACCCACAGGACCGTCTTTGAAAGCATGTGCAACCCAAACTCTGCTCTACCTCATCTGCTCATTCCCGCCCCAACTCACCTAAATAAGAAACTCACTTAACTGGCCTTTATGTTGTTTTTCCTGTCACCAAAGTCACTTCTCAAGAGCATAAAGTTAACCACCATGCTATTTCATTTAACTAAGATTAGTGATCACTTTAGTCCCCAGGGCCATCATAATAAAGTCACTCTCTCAGCTGAGAATTGACAGACTGGCCCTTAACCTTTCCTGGCTTCTCTCCCAGTGCTGCCTACCACACTGCGGTCTGAGTGCTGGACACCCACACACTCCCATTCACCCTGGCCTCCCACTGATTTGTCTTATGCCAGAAGCCTTCTTTCCCTTATCCTCTGATCAGCCCCCTTTCTCTCCTGGCCAGGTCTGCCCCAACCAAAGCAAAAGTTCCCTTTGTGTGCTCCCTCTACTCACTGTACCCACAACTTTATGAGAGCTCACAGCACACTGTATTCGTTAATCATTTATTTATTCATCTCACTCACTGGTTTTTAAACCCTCTGGACTCTTCTTGAACTCCCCAAGAATTAGATCAGGAATTAATATTGACATCCCAAAGACTTGGCAAGATGATTTTTACAAGGTTCTATAAAAGATGCAAAGGTTCAGTACAATACAAAGGTTCCAGCCACTTTTATTCATGTCATCTTTCTTCTATAAATAAATCCTGGAAAAATTAGTATGTCAAAGCAAAGAACCTTACTAAGACAAGTTTTCTTTTAAAAGTCACCCAGCAAATTATTATTTCAAAAAATTGAATCAAGACTAAAATCTTAATTATTGATTTGTGCTACTCTGTAGAACTTAGTCACAAGTCTTTGACTTAAAAGACTTTAAGTTGGATAAACATATCACTTGAGCGAAGTAATTGTCATCACTACAGAAACTGCTATCAGAAGCCAATGCAATGCATCACAATTATGATTTATATGACTAAAAGATCAGAAACAAAGCTATTCCCTTCAGAATCTTGTTCACCTTTTTCCCCTGGACATATTACACAGCCGTACACAAATAGAAACTGTGTCCATAGTGGTTAAGAACACAAACTGGAAGCCCAGTTTGCCTCAGTTTCCTCAGTTGTCAAACACAAATGAAGAAAGTACTCATTTCACAATGCTGCTGAGTGACTGAGTTAGCACACACGTACAAGGTCCCTGACACTGCCTGGGTAAGTGCACATTCATAAACGTTAACTACTATCATGATTATGCTTCTAGTTTTTAAAAATCCTTTTGTTCCCTCTGCCAACAACAGGGCAGTGAAACTAGACAAGAAAAACTATCCCCATTTCAGAGGTAAGCCCCCCCCCCTTCCAAAAAGGTATATGATTATCTTACAATGGCATGTTGCAGCAGGCTGTTTGTTACCACTGGAATCTTTAAAAGATTCGCCATCACTACCTCTTTTAGGAAGTAGAGTTTGGACACAACACATAACCTCAACCCCAAATCAAACCATGGCCATGCCTTCACATACCCTGTCCTTTATTTTCTGCTGTGAGACAGTCTTCACTAAGCCAATAAATTGCCCAACTGGGCTTAAACTTGAGATTCTCCTGCCTCAACACTTCTCTTCGGGTAGTCAGCAGCCACCAGCCTTCACAACTGGTGGAAACAGATGAATCCTGCCATTTGTTCAAGTTAAAAAGAAACCTCCTTTCACAGTGCCCAATACGCAGTGGACATTCAAGACAATATGCCTTGAGAACTCAGACATAAAGTGCCACTGTGCTCACTCAACTGCAGAACAAGATGCTCTACAAAGCCAAGCCTACTACAGTACCTAACAAAAAAGTCACTTAATACTACACTTATCTGTCACACAGTGCAACATGACCCGTGAAACTAAAGAAAAAACGAATAATTTTCTTTCACTAACTCAAAAATATTAAAGTTTTGGAGAAAGGGCTTTCAGATCAAGACAGTTTATGAAAAACTAACCCAACCAGTTCATGGCTTGACATTTCTCTGCCCAAGTAAGAAACGAATATGGACAAGTATTTTAACTCAATAATAGCTTCACCAATTTTATCGTCAATGCTTTCCCTATGCTTAAACTGAACCTCAACGCTTAACTTTATTTACAGTCATCAGTGCACACAGAACACAGTTAATGAGCTTCAAAGGCCCACGCAATGCCCCAGAAAGCAACATGGCTCCACAAGTACAACCACGCGCCTTCTCTTTCTATTGCTTGTTTTAGAATGGACAATTAGATGCTGAGATGCACCTTTGAAATCAGACCTGGCATCAGCCCCTGGGGAAGCCTACCTTCCCTTTCCTAGGCCCACCTCTGCCCGCAGAAGACGCAAAGCTACAACCCCTGCCCTGGACGGCTCTCTCCAAGCCTTGCACGTGGCAACCACTTGGGACACCCTGGCACTGGGGCCTTAACTGGGGCACGGCTCGGGTGGTGGTCCAGGACCGCGCAGCTCCCACAGCCGCCGAGCTTTGTGCAGGAAAAGCCCGAAGCCCCTTGCGTGAACCCTGACGGGCAGCCTGCCGCCCCGCCTGGCGCAGCCGCTCGGCCTGCACCGGCTCCGCCAGCCTCGGGGTCCCTCGCCCGCGCCTTCGGTCACCTGTGTCAGCAACCCCAACACCCGCGTCGGGACCCCAATTCTCGGCCACTGACAGCCATCAGGGGCCGCAGCCCAGAAGCGCCCGCGGGCGGGAGAAGGGCCCGGGCTGCAGCGCCCCCTCGCCCACCTCGGGGATTCCACGGCCGCCGCCATTTTCCCGGCCGCAACCCCCACCTGACAGTTCCGGCCTCCCGCCTGTGACGTTCAGGGGACGCCGTGCGAGGCCTCGGGGACGCGTGCCCGAGCTGGGGACTCCGGGACCGGGGGGAGGGGGCCTGGCAAACCTCAGGGCAGAACCCGCCGCTAATTCATCCAGGAGCGAGGGAGCGTCCGACCCGTCGCCCTAGTAATGCGTGAGGCCAAGCTCCATCCTGATTGGCTGCGAGCGCCGTGACGCGGGGCGTCCCCGGCTGCGTGGGAAGCCCGGGTCCCCGGCGCCCCGCCCCTGCTCCGCAGCCCGGTGGGACCCCGGGCGTCGGGCTTCTCCGGCTCCTTTAAAGCGGCCGTGCCCGTTTTCGCTCTAACTTGGAAAGGCGGATCGAGCTCCCGGGTGTGTGGACGCGAAAGCAAAATAGGAACACGCCGAGGTCTTCGTCAGAGGGACCTAAGGACTCCTCCTAAACCTCGTGGAGTTGCAGAACGGAAAAATCGGGGAGACGGTGTAATTTATAGATCTAAATTTTTTGCCAGGCGTCTAAGGTAAATCAGCAGTCCAAGCACGATGAGAACCGAGGTTCCTGATGATACAAATTATTGCTGTCTGCAGTGTTTGCCCAGCCCTGGCTAAAACTAAAACTGCCTTTGCAGCATGCCTCTCTTAAACGGGTTTGGTCCCTTTCCACCTGCCCCAGCCACAAGACTCTAAGCTCTTGGATGGTGAGTAAACTTTCTGCCACACCCGCTGCACAAATGCCTTCTCCCTGTTGGCGTTCGCCAGATCATCACCGGATAAAAATATTAATAATAAACAGCCACACATCACATTCAGAGTAACTCTCCAGCCATTCACATGTGTTTATATATTTTATTCGTTTATTCAACAGGAAAATGAGGAAGGGCCTACCAAGTACCTTGGTGCCAGAGGCACAGAATTTGTACAGTAATAACAGTGCTTGTCTAAGCTTCGATTGCGCAACTTGGGTAGCGCTAAATCATACTCGCCTCCCAAATTCTCTGTGAATCTGGAGTCCTGGTACTCCCCTGTATCAGCTTCACAACTTCTCTAATTTTTTCAAAACCTCTATGTAAACTGTGCTGAAATTGTGTTTTAAGGTAAAGAAAAACAGCCACGGAAAACACTAGCACAAAAGCCAATTTAGCCAATTGTGGCAGTTTTTCTGTGACAGGAAGCCTTGCTTTTCTCTTTAAAATAGGATTGTTAAACATTCTCCACGACTAGCTTGCCCACTGGATCCTCCATTTAATCAGTTCTACCTGAAAAGTTATACTTGTAACCTGGTTGGTGCACCATAGTTGTGTCCTACTTCATGGACCTTATCAGTTCCCATGATTCCCACCTTGAACCTGCCTCATCTTGTAGTTTTGCTGCATAAAAATCCCTAGAAAAGGCAGCTTCCTTGGTGACCCACTCAGGTTCCCTTCTGTCTCTCTCTTGGAGAGCAACTCTCTTTCCCTATTGAATGTGTTTTGCTCTCAACCTCCATTGTTCCTAAAATTCATTCTTCAACTTTAGAGAACATGAACTCATCCCAGATATCTTTCAGGTTGGAAGTTTCTTTCCCATATATCATTATTTTAGATAATAGCATTGTGCCAAGATTATTTTCTGTGTTTCCATATATATTTTATGTTTATACAAGATTTTAACATAGGAGTAAAAGGTATACAGATTATCTTTGTATTCTCTTTCCATTTTTCCCCTAAAACTAAAATTGTTTCACACTGTTTAAAAATAATAATTTATATTAAAAATTTCATGTATGTAGCAAACTCTTGAATTTTAGTGAGGTTTATCCGTGCCCTAGAAAATATGTGTCTTATCAGGGCATCTGGAGTATATATTTCCCTCATCAGATTTGACTAGTGTAATATTTCCATATGGTAGACCTATGTGACGCCAAGTGGTCCAAGTCCTTCGGAACGTATTGTGACATAAAATAAGAAAATGAGGCTATCCCTGGAGCAGGACTGCAAAAGTAGATTGTTGTCTGTCTGGTGAGAATGTTTTCTACCTAGATGTGATAGTTTTTGTTTCCGGTCTTGGTTGACGGGTGTGAGAGGAGCTGACAGTTCCAGGACTTGCCCTTGCTCTCACCTGCTACCATAGCTCTCACTCTACAACTTAAAGACCCATATGTGGGTTTGCTCACATGCTAAGTATATCCACTACAAGGAAACATTCAAGAATCAGAGAAATGACCAAGGAGGTCAGCAATAGGACCCTGTAGACCCAGTGAGACAGAACTGACTCAAGACTGTATTATCTGAATCCAGTATACGCCCACTCTATAGGGGTGTGGGATCATAATTAGGAATTCTGAATTGTCCCATCAACTTAGATCTTATATCTCACAATCTCAAAAGGTTAGTTTAGTCCTCTTTTTCTCTGTGGTTATGCAAAGAAATAACAGCAAAACTCCTTGGAGAAGGACTAAAGAAATTATATATAATTGCCATGGTATTCTGGGTACTTCCTCATGAACCCCGGTTTCTCTAGTGCATGCACTCTTGAGCTGAGAACAGGCTCAAGTCTTAAAATTGGGCAAGAGATTATGATTTTCCATTTCAATAATGTCTGACTCCTGTCTCCTCACTGATCTTCAGTTTCTTCAGGTTATACGCCAAGCAGTACCCTTCCTAGCTGTCCATGTGACTTGTCCTTAGAAACACTGTGCTCTATCAGCCACCTCCCTAAGGTCAAGTCAGGTCCTGGGGCTGCCACTTTTGCCTCGCTATCCATTGTGGTGATTAGGTTTCTGTCGCTTCACACAGTGGCCTCTGCTACTACAGGATCTTATCATCTCCATTGCTACTAGGGGTTCCTGTTTTGTGATAGCATCTTTTATCACCAGCGCTGGCCTTCACAGCACATCTATCTCTGAGCTTCTCACTGATACTAATGCCCTGGGAAAACTACCTTGTCACCTTTTTTTTTTGCGGAACCAGGGATTGAACTCAGGCCCTTGAGCTTGCCAGGGAAGCGATTATTCTACTGAACCATCTCCCTGGCCCAACCTTGTCACCTTGATGAGTAGTGCCTTCCAGCCTTGCTGAGGACCACATTGAGCAGGAAGACTTGTGGTCTTCTACATGGTTAATGCATTAGCGTGCTTACTCCTCTACTTTGTATTTATTTTGTTTTGTTTGGTCCCTATATCTACTTACTGCCATTAGAGTTTTAGCATCTTTGCTTTTGTAACAGCACATGCCGCACCCCACCCCCAGCCAGTATACTTCAGTTTCTTAGTTGCCCAGGTAATAGTTTCTGTTTCAATTCTGGTCTTCTGTCTCTTAGAAATGGCCAGTCACTATGATGCATGTTGTGTAAACCAAGCCCCAGCTGATGAGCCATTCTGCCTCTGTACTTCCTGCTTGCTTATCCCATAGAAGCCCCAGACCTCCAGAGATTGGGGCCTGATATTCAGGGAATGATCCCGATCAGCGCCTGTTGTAAATAAATCTGCCTACAAATCCTGGGTGTTGCTTAGGTGTTTCTGCTTGTGGCTGCACTTTAATGTGGCCATTTGGTTTTCCCAGCTTCTGAGAGCCACCCCAACAGTGTGCTAGAATTGGTTCTCAGAGCTCTTGCAATGTGATTAAATATGAGGCCTTGGGAATGGGATGGTTAAGTTCCTTAAGCCTGCTATATGTTCTGCCCTTCTTTAATCCCACACATTGGGCCTGTGAGATAGCTCAGCGAGCTAAGCATCTGCTTAGGCAAACACATGCTGAGCCAGCTATTGAGACCAGGCGTGGTGCACACACCTGTAATCCCAGCGCTGGGGAGGCTGAAAACAGGAGGATCACTATGAGTCCCAGCTGTGTGATGAGACCCTGTACCAAGTACATTAAAAAAAAAAAAAAAAAAAACCCACACCTTTAGTATCCACATCCAGGCGTAAAGTCTTCTGCTGTGAGCAAGTAATGCAGTCCTTGTGGCATAAAATCCTTTTTCCCCCTTAGTAGTGCTAGAACTTTCCCATTTAGGTCAAAACGAGCTTTGACCCACAAGAGGCCTCTATGTAACATCCACGTAAGGGTGAACTACCTTCTCGCATGTCAGAGAGGCCCATTAGAGTCTGAGGGTTCAAGGTTCTCAAGTCACCCGGATAGCCCAACCCCAAGTCTCAAGGTTCTGCTATTTCCCTGTCTGACTTTGGCATTAGAGGTTTGCTCAGGATGAGAATTCATCTGCTCGGAGGTTCTGCTACTCCTCTATCTGAGGTTGTCAGTTCTGGCTGCAGATGAGGAGACGCTCTTTAAATTCTGCTGAAAAAGCCCCGAAGAGTCTCACATGTTGCTTGCCTAGCAATAGCCACCCGTATCCACAATCCACACGCAATAATTTCTCTGTGTCTCTCAGGTACCAGAGACATAAACCCCTTTTACCTGCAACTTCCCTGATCCAACAACAATATAATTACATTATTACATTTCTGCAATCTATGTATTGCATAAAATGAATGAGAAAATTCTTATCTTACGGTATCTTTATTTGATTTTATTTTTTTCTGAGACAAGGTTTGGCTATGTAGTTCAAGCTGGCCTTGGACTCATTTTGTAGCCTATGCTGAACTTGAACTCCCAGTGATCCTCCTGCCTCAGCCTCCTGAGTGTTGCCATTATAGGTGTGCACCATCATGCCCAGCTTCTTCTTTTTTTTTTTTTTTTTTTTTTTTTTGACAAGGTTTGGCTATGTAGTTCAGGCTGGCCTTGAACTCCAGGCAGTGCTCCTACTTTAGCCTCCTAAATTCTGGGATTATAAAAATGTGCAAACCCCCAACACCAACCCTGTTCCTTTTGGTCTTAACTTGGATCTGTTGTTCTTCCACTATTACAGGGAAAAATGAATAGATTTCCCAGGAACTAGCAATGGAATGGGTCTTCCTTTCTTACCATCCAAGGCCCCATCTCCAGAGTCCCATCTTTAAAATCTGCTTTCTAGGAACAGCCCATGGGGTGGGGAGGT